CCCCTCGCCAGCACAGCCTGCATTAGCAGTCTCAGCTGCACCTCTTTTAAACTTAGTCCAGAACAGCACTCCAAGGGGATTACAGTAGTGGATTGTGGAGTGCAAGGCAATCCCCAGCTCCACTACAAAAGGGACCGGAAAGGCTGCCAGCGTGGCTCCAAGGACATTTTTACTTTAAAAGGCTGCATCTAGTCCCAAAAAACCTGTTCTCGTATCACCAGTGTTCTGTGGGTCCAAGCCAACAGCAGGGCTCCAGCAAGACACAGACTTTTGCTGGTGTGCCCTTCTGTTGAAGGGAAGGCAAGGACTTTGCCACAGGCTGGTTCATGGATGCTGCTGAGCTGGTGATGATTCCCTGCTGAGTCCTCTGCCACTGGTGTGGCTGACATCCCTCTAACCTCAGCAAACATCCTTCAAATAATCTGCAAGCACAGCCTCACCAGGAACAGATCCCCAGGGTGCCAGGGCAGATGCTCCAGACCCTCTGGCAGTGGAAGAGGTTTTTCCCAGGCACCTGTACCTCTCCACTTCGTTTCTCCACATTTTCTCAAGGCAGAGTTTGCATAGTAGCTGTTTCCCCAGGGAAAGTTCTCTGTCCCCAAATTCCCAAGAGTGTCAGTTTACACTAATGTCAGATGAGCCTGGATTAGCCCTGCTGCTGAGCAGGGAGCTTTGCTCTGTGGCTGGTTTAGAACAACAAGAGGCAGCACGCCAGTGCCAGGGAGAGAGGCTCTGCTTGTTCAGGCAAACCACAGTACCTGGCTGCCCATGCTGAAAACAGGACTTTGAGAACATCTTTTAAAACTCCTCCATCTGAGCTAGATAGGACAAGCATTTCTGGGAGCCTCTGGTGGGATTTCCCCACAAGCACGACTTGTCCCACTAGTGAGAGACCCCCACAGTCTGGCCAGAGAAGTGTTTTAGCCTTTAGAAAGACAAAGAGGTCTGAAACAGCCAGCACCTTGTGACACCCCAAGGAAAACCCATGGTCCAGCAGCCCCTCTCACATGGGAGGAAATATTACTCCAGGGCAGTGAGCTGGGACACCTCTGCTCCATCACACCCCACAGAGAAGCAGGCACAGCGGGACTTTCCTGTCTCTCCCTGACAAGCATTTCAGAAAGCTGGCAGCCAGTGTCCCTGCCAGCTCTTTGAAAGCATCCCTGTGCCTGGGCAGCACAGGATCCCTCCGAGGGAGCCTGCATGCTCTGACACTGCAGCCCTGGGTGTCCCCCCCTTATCAGCCAGGGCTCCAGGGCTGCTCCACTGTCAGCAAGAGGGGCTGCAGGTGCCAAGGCCCCTGAGCAGAACAAGTCTCTCTGACAGTCACAGAATGCCAACGGCTGTTTGGTGGCACTGGCCCCGGGAGCAAATCCAAAAACCAGATGGTAACCAGGAACCACAATGTTTCAGTGTCCTTGAGCATTGTGCTTCTTGGGGAGAAGGGTTTGTGTTTGCTGCCTGCAACAAGCCTTGCTTAGAGGAGCAGGGATGAGAGCTACAGAGGCACACCAGAAAAGTCCCAAAGTGCCTCAGGAGTGGGACATTAGTGATAAAAAGCCATTTCTGGACAAAAATAACACACATGCAGAAAATAGCAGCTCTGCATCATGAGACAGCAAACATCTCTAAGTTCTCTCATCTGTCTGACACAGCACAGTCCAGAGTGGGAGAGCTGGGCCATGGCTAGTCCCAAAACCTCCACAGAAGCCCTCTAAGGTGACTTTATCCTGCCTCTTGCCTTCCTCTTCTTCAACACTTTAAGGTCCCACAGGTGGTGTCACATGGGGACTCTAAGTAGAGATACTGCTCTGGGCTTTTGTAGCTTTTAAAGTGCATAACATGCTGTAGCATCCCAGCCCTCAGAAGCCAAATTCATTATAGTGGGGCTGCTCTAACAACTAGAGTGAGATCACAGCTTTCTTTCTTATTTCTCCATCCCAAGCACCTAGACAGCACCAGTAAACCAATTCCAACACCTAACATAACCCACTCCCTGCTTCCAAACAGGAAGCATTCTGGTCCTGAGAGTGCTCAAATGGGCTCAATGAGACAGGGAACCAGCTTGGACACAGCTAGCCCGGGCTGAAATTCTGCCTTCATGCACGACATGAAGTGGCACAAGGGTTTGATCCATGGCTGAGGGTGCTGGGCAGGACACAGAGGAGTGTGCTTCCAGCCCCTCCAGGGCAAGGGCAGAGGTTATCCAGCACTGGCTAATGCTGCCTGCAGCACTAGGGTTACAAGGGAGTCATGGAGATGGCTCAGACTGAAGGGAGGTGCACAATGTGCTCATGGAGAGACCAAGAACAACAATGCATGGGAAATGCTGCAGCTGCTGCCTCTGGGATGGCTCAGCAGTCCTCAAATAAAAATGGATTAAAGTAATTAAAGGCTTCGCTGGTTCACTCTGCTCCTGGGGGGGCTTAAGTGGCATCTGCTGCCTCCTCCTGAACCCTGCATTAACAGGGATGCTTCATGTCTCCCTTCACTGCCTCCTCCATTTGCAGCCCATGGTGGTATTTGCAGCCTGTCAGGTGGCATCTCATCCCATCCAACATCCAAAGTTCCTCCCTTTCACCCCATCCTTTGGGGTCTCCTCTGCACAGGACCCAGCTGGCACACGCTGTCTGCAGGGATCAGACCACCCCGCTCTGCTTTGACCATTTGCTACCAGCAGTGCCTGGGGCTGCTGGGGCGTTTCTGCCCTTGCTTCTCACAAACTGCATTTTTCCAAGGTAAGGACCAATTCAAGTGGCCCTGGGCAGGTAAAGAGCCCAACAAGGTGGTGTCATAAGATCAAATTTCTGATGGCAGCCCTATCCTTGGCCCCTAACATATGGTTCCTAGTTGTGAAATGGAGTGATGATGCCACTGCAGCCCGGCAGCTCTAGGACAGCATGACACTGTCCCAGAAATAAACACTGTCCCTATAAATCATGTGGCATAAGCCTCGCTTTTCACAAAACAACATTCTTCAAGACACTTTAGAGTGTCTTAATGGTCTCGCTGCAGCATGACAACAATTCACTCCAAAGCTGTTGGAGCCCTTTTGTGCCAGTGACTGATGTTCTTCCTGTGCAATCAGCAGCATCACCAAAAATAGTGGAGCACTTTTCATATCAGCAGCGGTATCACATTTCCAGCACAGGGCAAGAACAAGCTCCTGAGAGAGGTAAAAACTGGTTTATCCATTGTAGCAACAACTTAACTGCTGCTGACAACACTGAGGTGGGCAATACAGGTGTTTCCAACAGTGAACAGAGCTACAATTTGGCTTTGCCTTGGTATGCAGGGCATGGTGTGTGCTGTGCACTTTCAAGGGACCAGATTAAAAAGCACTGAACTGCAAGAGAGGATTTCCTTAGGGGCCAAGGCAGAACAGCAGGTCCATCGCTGTGTGAGCTGCCCTGCTTCGTGCCAAGAGCCTCTTCATGCCCTTCTCAGTGGGATGTCAGGCTTCACAGTCAGCTTGAATGCTGACAAATGAGCCTTGTGCACTGGCTGCTGGGGGGCTGAGCCCTGCCACTGATTGCTCTCATTAATCTGCAGGAAATTTTCTGTTGAGGTCTGGTGTGTCACATTCCACCTTCTCAGCCATGTGCCAGGAGCAGCCAGGGAGCAGCATTTGCTCAGCCATGGTGGGAAGTTCCACAGGGCTCCTTGCCCCAGGGCTGGCAGCTTCAGCAAGCCTCCATCCCCATGCCATTGCCTCCCTGCTTTAGTTGGAGTTTTTGTCCTTTTTTGTTGACAGTCAGTGAAATCGGACTCGATTTGCCAGCTTTCACACCACAGGAGGGCTGTGCTTGCCTTCTGGGGCCACAGGGATTTGAGAGGGGGAATGACATTGGTGAAAAAGACAGGCAGGAGTCAGAACAGCATTCATCTGTGTCAAACTGTGTGTTCTTTATGAATAAAATAACACCAAGCACTATTTGAAGCATTTACAATTTTCTACTCAACTAGGCAGCAAAGTGGCCACCTGGCTGGTGCTCCCAGAGACTGGCACAGGAGCTGAGGAGTGTCAGCCTGACCCCATAGGCAGACCAAGAGCCTGCTCCCCTTCTTTAAGCCTAAATTTACAAAATCCTGTGGTTGAAATATCCTTGAGGCTGCTGGCTGGTCTCATGCATCTGCCCTCAGCTCACTTCAACCCAAGAAAGGCTGCAGACTTGTAGAGGTCAAAAGACCAGTAATGAAATCCTACACCAATAACTTGATATTTCTTAGAGTCCTTTGCAATATGATAGTGAAATCAGCTATGGTTGTGGCCAGGGACCAGGAGTAATACAAGCTCAGCTTTGTTTGAAAGCCCAGCTCCCTCCGGGCAGGTGTGCACGGGGAGCTGGACACGGGCATCCGAGCAGCTGGAGCACAGGACAGGGAGCGATGGGGCTGGGCTGAGGCACACACTGGATGCTGTGGTGGCTCCAAGACCCCTTCCCATGACAAAGGCAGTGTCGTGGCAGCAGATTTTATAGTTGCTGGCCCAGGAATGCTGGGATGTGCCTGGACACCGACTCCTGGGTGCCTGCCAGTCCCGATTGCAAAACCTGCCAATATAGCAGTGTCCCATAATGAGCTGGGAGCACAGGAATGTGCACAGTCAAGCTCCCTGCCAAGGAGTAACCCTCCCAAACCCGGCACTGCTCTGCCTCTACAAGAGACAGGAACATGGAATTTCTCACAACAATCCTGAGAGCAGCTTCATCATGACCACCACCAGGAAGGCAGAGCCCTGTAAGCTCCAGAGGGAGCAGGGTGTTACTCTGCCTTTCCTAGCCCTCAAGAAATTTTGGAAATTCATCCAAACTGCAGCACTTCCTTTGGCCAATGCCTTCAGGGAATTAGCAGCAGTATGAGGCATTTGGTTGTGCTGCTGATTTTCTCTGTGTTTCTCCTCACCAAAAACACAGTGTCATCCCAGCAAGCATGTGCCCCAGCTTGCTGAATCAAATAAGCCTCAACACCTCACATGGCAGGACTTTGCAGCAAAACAATCAAGCTGACAGATTTTTGTGTATTGACATCACAGATGGGAAAAAGTCTTACTAATCCCCCAAAGTTCCTTCCAGTGGATGATTTCATTGGTGTCTCTGGATCAGTCCCAGCTGCTGCAAATGAGCACAGACAGACCAAAATTCAGCAACAATACAGGAAATTTGGGCAACAACTCAGATGGCATCTCATATTCCAGGGGCATATACAAGACGTTTTCATACAGAGCACTGAGAACAGAAAAAGGTATTTGGGGCTAATCAAAAGTAATGGTAGAGAACAGTTTAGTTAACCTGTAAATCACATTTTGTGTCTTCAGCACACACAGAAATGCTGGCTTTGATATCCCAGCCATCAGTGAACCTTGTTCCAGGTCATGACAACTCCTTTCAAAGTCTCTAGGATCAGCAATAGACTATTTTAATCAATGGATGTGGTCATTTGTTGAACAACGATGTCAGGAGCTGCTACAGCACCTTAGGGACAAAGTACCTTTTTCTGAGTCCATCTGCTCCTCAATAGGTTGAGCAACATCTAACCCTGCTAATGGCACCTCCTCCCAAACCAGACCTGTGGGAGAGTCACATGAGCCTGAGTGCCATTTTACCTACTTTTATACCTCTTTATCACCATGATATGATTGCAGCAATTTCTTACCTAATTCATTAGCTCAGACTTTGGCTACAGTGCAACACGATGCTCTCTGATACTGCACCTTAATGGCACCTGTATTGGTCTGAACCTGCCTGAAGCCATTCTCATCACCCTTTCCATGGCTCATACTCTGACCGTGCCAATGGCTCTTTTCTCTGCTTTCCTCAGAGCACAGAATCCAAAATTACTGTCAGTTGTGCTACAAGTAAACATTATAGCACCCACATGTGGGACAAATAACACTGATTAATGGTTTATACAAGGTGGCTGGCGTTAAGCTCCAGTAGGAGCATTGCACCCCCCCATTTGGGAACCAGGGAGGAGGATGGTGGTTAGAGCTGGTGGTTGGAGCTGGTGGTTCATGCCTGTGATACTGCCTCCAGACATTGGCTGCAGGAGCTCTTTGCTGTGCATCCAAGTCACAGCCAGGAACAGTCCTGCCAGAACATAGTGATGCCCAGGACATTCGGGAGTAACGCAGAGCAGTGCACGTAAGGCATGGAACTACTTGTTATTTATGCCTTGTGTTGCTCTGTGGGATTTAACCCACTTAATCACCAGGCTAATTCCCACTGAAGCAGTGGGTGTCCTCACTGATACGGTCAAGGCAGGATGGGGATCCCAGGCAGGAGGAGCCTGCAAGGTTGGAAGTGGCACCTGCCCCCATCAGCAGTGTCTCCAGGGCTGTCCTGCTCAGCTGCAGAGGGGCACAGTGTTACCATCTGATACTAGATTTTATTACTGCTTCTTACTCCTAGCAAGATGCAGTCACACTGCATACAGAAGTGCTTTTCACATGGAAATAGAAGGGTTTGGGAAATAGCAGACATTTTCTGCCCATTTACTGCAGCACAAACTCACCATCTGAGCCCTCACTGCAGCAAATTAAGCCCTCTGACTCCTATAATACCTGTCCCTCAGCTGGCTGGAGACAGAGTGCCAGACCCTGCATTGTCCCACAGGGAGCAGGCAAAAGTCTCCATCACCTGGGCAATCATTAACTGCCCCAGTGAGCTGGGGAGGTGCAAGGAGAAGCTGTCCTGCTCTGCAAATACACTAATGGCTCAAGTGGAGATTAGCAGGAGTGTTACCAACCACCCTGTGCCAAGAGGTGACACGGTACCAGGGACCTGGCATGGTCTGACCAGCCTACACATCCCCTGCCTTTGGCTTTGCCACCAGCAAGGTCACCGCCACAGCGCAACCAGCACAACTTCTGAAGTTATACTGGGATTGCACAGAGTTTGTGCTGGAAGCTGGTGCCACCAGGTGGGAGGGAAGGCTGGGCTGCACAACCAGTCCCTACCACCACAAGCAGCACCTCAGCCCACATCAAGCATTAACTCAGCAGAGCAAATGTTTAACCAGCCTCCAGGACCTCCCTGCAGCAGGAGCTGAAACGCCCTCTGCCTTCAAGTGCAGCCCCAGGTGACTTCAGCAAAGTTTTGCCTGCAGATTGGGAGCCTGGCATGACTGGCAGTGATGCTGCTGTCCCAACCCCATGCTGAGAGTGGATGTTTAATAAAGATCCAGGGAGAGCTATCTGCTCTGTCACTCACAGCTGCACCCAGGTTCCTTGGGGGGCACACAGAGTTATCTCACTGTCACTGCGCTTGTGTCAGTAGGCATCATTGCACATCCAGAGAGAGACAGTGTTGGTGTTGGAAACTCACTTAACACATCTGGGGTTATTTAATACACAGGAAACATGTCCATACCAAAAAGCTTCTGGTGCCACAGCAATTGGCTAAAGAGATGATAGCCAGCAGCCTAACACAGTAACTCAGTAGCTAAAAATCCATCTAATGAACAGCTCTAGTAACAAGAACCTGGCTTTGGGCTCCTCCAGAACCATTTTCCCCTTCCTAGTACTCATTAATAACCATACAGCCACCCACCAGGGACACTCCAGGTGCACATTCAGTACAGCATTACTTTCTCTTTACATGCACACTGAATGAGAAAACCATCATTTCCCCATCACAAGGGATGAGCCCTCTGTGCCACTCGTCAGAGAGCTGTACCAGAGCTGTTCCACAGAGCCATGCCAGAACTGCCTGGGTCTTCTGCCAGTTGCTGACTCAGGGACACCCTGGGCTCACTCCTCTGGGGTGATACCTCCAAAGAAGACCCCACTGCGAAGCCCTGCAGCATTCCCAGGCAACATGGGGCCATACAGTGTACAGGAGGTGCAAAGGGTGATGCTGGAATGAGCTCCCCATGTCACCCTCTCCTAGGACATGAAGCCACTTCCTAAGACACACAGGGCAGCTGTGATGATGCAACTCCTTGTCTGCAGGAGCCACTCCAGATAAATCTCACCCAGCAATCAACCTCCCTCACAAAGTAACCTTCAGGGAGCTACAAAGGCTTTTTGTTAATCTCAAAGACGCAGGAGCACAGGGGGAGATTGCTTTCTAATTTAGATAGCAAAGAGAACTGTTCTGCAAGGAGCTCCCAGTAAAAGAACATTGCCATGAAAAATCCCTTGGTTCAGGACCCCACAAACCCACTTCCTCCTCCTCTCTGCAGGAGAGGAGCCCAGATGTGCAGCTGGTCAGGCACCAGGACGCATCAGAAATATATCAAGAAAATTTAGCTGGCCTTTTTCTGATTTTACTCAGTAAAAAGCAGGAGTTGGTGGATCACAGCCCTTTTCCATTCCCACATCCACCAGCCATAACCACACTTCCCTGGAGCTCAAAACAGGTTTAGATCAATGCTCTTTTCCCCCTTTGACACATCTCCAGTGAACTCACAGACCTGAAACTTTTTCAACAGTGGCCCAAGGGGAACAGCACAGATGTGTATTCATTTCCTTTTCCATTCAACTTGAACCAAATGGTGTTTCTGGACTGCACAATGAGCAGCCAGGCCATGGGACAATGTGTGATGTGAGGGGAGGAGTCTGCTGGGCCACAAGAACCTTGTGGGGCACACATGGGCTGTGAGGTCACAGCTTGAGCAGAAAAACTGCACAACCTTAACAGCCTCTCCTTTGCCACAGCCTTGGTTTAGGTGCAAAAGCTGTACAGGGTCTTCCAAACCCTGCCTGTGAGTAATCCACAGCTGGACAGGTCGGGCTGACCACACTCACAAGTACACGGACACACACCATACACATTGGAATAAGGGCCAGCCTGCCTCTCCTCTCCTGCATCTGAGGCCCCATGTCAATCAAACTGAACAGCTCCTGATCAGGTTAAAAATAACAATAATTTTTTTAGTCTCTGGTAGCAAAGGACCGGCAACTTCTCCTTTGTTTCATCTCCTGTGATAGAGCAATATCTGTACAGTCTTTTCTCATTTCTCTCTTGTCTTTTCTTCCAGAAAGAATATTCCCTTCAGTCCAAGGGTCCGAATGGAAGCAAGAAGCCAGGGAGTGGCAGTCCAGGTGAGTGCCAGCAGCCCATGCTGACCCTCAAAGAGCTTTGGAGGTAAACTGGGAGGGACTGGGGCCTCTGCTCATGCCTGGTGCTGCTGAGGCCTTGGCTGGGAAATATGGTTGGGGGAAAATGCTGGAATGTGGAGAGGTGCAAACTGTGGAAAGGTGAAAGTAAATGAAAGAGCACCCCTCTGTCCATGACAACCTGGCTTCTTTCTCCAGGCCTTCAGAGGGCCAGGAGTGTCAGTCCAGGACACGGCCTGGACCATGCACCCTTGGGTGCCACAGAGTGTGAAGCCCCACAGCTTTCCCTGTCGCATTCCTCTGTTTGGAAATGGTTTTGCTTCATCCCTGCCCCTCCTGGGACTGAGACAGTGAGCACCTGCAGGCTGGCACTGGGCAGCCTGGGCAGAACTGGACCATAGAGCCCACTGAAGAGCCAAAAAGGGTTGGTGGAGTCTCCCCCACCTTTGCAGCCTTTGGTTTCCCAGGCTGTGGCAAGTCAGGGACAGCAAACACGGCACCTTCCAGCCACACTGATGATGGGGACAAGAAGCCCAGTTCGGGCAGGGGCTGCATCCCAGCAGCAGAAGACCTGGGTCAGCGATGCTGTGGCATCACACAAGCTCTGATGCCACCAGGACACCCGCGGCCCCGTGTGGGGGCTGCATCTCCCTGTGGCAGCCCTTACCCTGGGGTGCAGCAGCGGCTCCCTGGGCCGTGCAGCACTAGGTTGATGACAGGGTGTTGCAACACGCCAGGGAATAATCACGATAGCTCGAGCGGTTGCCCTGGTGCCGGCTTGGCTGTTGCAGTGGTTGCTAAAGAGAGTGGGCGTGCGGCTTCCTCTGGGGCGATCTGATTTCTCCAGGAGCGTGGTTAAGGCACGTTGAGGAGAAATCGTCCTCCGTGGAGCAGGGACACGACCTCTCCACCAGCAGCAGTGGCTGTGCCGAGCAGGCAGCTCGGGTGCCTGGGCACGCACAGAGCTGTTTGCTCTGGGGAGGGAAAGCCATTAGCTTCCTCATCTCTCCTGGGAAAACATCATCAGGCAGCAAAGAGCAAAGGGAAGAAGTTTTCAGGGCGGCAGAGGGACCAGCACTGAAGAGCGAGCAAGGTCACCGGCTGCTGCCAGCTGAGCTCCAGCCTCAGCGAGGTCCTTGCGGGGTGACAGGAGCAGCAGGGAGGCTGCAGCAGCCACCTCCCCGTGACCCTCCGTCCCTGCTGCCACCGCCGAGACCTGGCAGGAGCCGGGCGGCCTCGCTGGACCGGCCAAAAGTCAGCCAGCAGCGGCGGCAGCCTCAGCCCCACAGCCCCATGTCGTGGGGCACAGGGCAGCAGCTGCCCCCCGGGCTCCCCAGGGCCTCGCTGCGGAAATCAGGTAAGCCCAGGGTCCCCACACTGCCCCGGGGATCCCCGCTGCTCTGGTGCTCCCTTTGCGGGGACGGGCTCCTTCATCCCGCGGGATTGCTCTGCACTGTATACACAGGTGACTTGGGACCCGGTTTTAATTTTATTTGAGATATTGTTTTACTTTAATACTTCAGTAGCTGGTTGAAAAGCTTCCCTTCTGTTTCTGCCTTTCCATATCTCACAAGAAATTCCCTTAGAATATCCATCCTGCAATTCAAACCTTCTTGGAGAAGCGCTGGGCTGGATAGGGGGCTAATGCAGACCCTACAAATCAACATGGGAGGATATTTTCTATATTTAACAAAATACCTTTGAACTAACTTTAAGCATTCATTACTGATTGATGTGCATCTCTGACATTGGCAGGCAAATGTGCAGAGCAAATATTTGGTGAGATATTAAAACTAAGTTTATGATTGTCAAGAAGGACTGCTAAGCATCTGCTACTGTCTAACAAAACTAAACCAGTGCTCCACATGCTGCCTGTAAAAGGCATGGGACATCTTAGTGATTGTTAACAGACTAAGATCCCAGCCTTGCTATCTTTGCTTATCACAGTCCAAGGTAATAAAATGAAATTATTAACCAGCACACCCAGTCCTGCCTGCCAGCAGAGAGGCACTTGCTGCTGCCTGACGATACAAGCATTTCCAGCTGGTGACTTCTACACCCCAGACAGCTCAGCAAGCCTCAAACCTGGTGGGATTTCTCTCTTCTAAATCCATGTCCATGAATGCAAAGTCCAGCGGGTGGCCATGGGGACATGCAGATTCCTTTACCTTTGGGGTGATGGCCCGAGCTGAGCCCAGCATAGGTGCAGTGCTGGTGCAAATGGGGGACCCAGCCCTGGGGGCTGCGCTGCTGGCACAGGGCTCAGCAAGGGTGAGCAGGACTGGGGACAAACTAGGGACACTGGCTATACCAGTGGGAGAGAACTGGCTGTACTGGAGGGGAGGCCCATCCCCAGCATGTGCAGCAGACACAGAGACAGGACCAGTGGTGACACGTGGCAGCAGTGCTGGGAGGTGCAGAGATGTGTCCCCCAGCCCTGTTTTACATTTCCATTTGGGTTTCCTCTGTCTTTCTGCCCTTGTGACCCCGTGGGGTCTATTTCTGACCGTCAGGGCTGAGTGAAGGCAAGGGGACCTGGGCTGTGAGTGCCTGCTGCCCTGAGGCAGCCACTTGATAGCTGGGAACTGCTTCCCACAGCAGCCACATCGAGTTACACTCACCCTATTGCATTATAAATACCAGAATTAGCCTTGCTTAATTATTTAAAACTATAGATTAAAAGCAGACAAAGGCTCTTTGACTCCTTACCAGAGCACACATATCATTTATCAGAGGTACGGTCGCCTGGTGACAAGCACAGGGGAGCGTGCCAGGCCCGTCGGTATGAGGTGCTCCCGAGCTGCTGGCACAGCTGGAGCCAGAGGAGAGGAAAATCACAGTGAGGATGGGAGCTGGTTCCATCTCACCCAGGGAGGGTGATGTTTAGCATCTGCCAATCTTTGGACTCACATTATTATTATGATTATTATTATTATTAACGTCATCATCATCCATCGCCAGGGCAGTAAGCCACAGCAGCAGAATTAGGCTAATGTGAATTACAGGTATTTTGTTCCAGGCTGTTGTAACAGCAGCACATGGATTACTGGGGTGATAAGGCATAATTTGTGGGCTCAGCTGTGAGGACTCACCCACCAAAGGGCGTCCAGGCACTGCGAGCCTCCCCATCAAGCAGCACCCACAGCTGGGTGCCTCCGCCCGCTGTCCTGAACCCCCACCATGCAGAAAGGGGCTTCCTAAAGCAAGGGCCTGACTTTGAGGTCAGACCTCCTGTCCTCCTAGCAGATGATCCTCTGCCCTGCAGCTGCACACCTGAAAGCTGCTGTCATCAGACAAAGCTTTGGGGCTTTCAGAGACTGTCATGGAATTCTTCCACATTTTGCCGACCCCAGCTGTGAACTACATTTGCTTTCTAGATTTCAGCTAAAGTTGAACACTGACCTGTGTTTTGTAAGGCAGCATTGACAGCTTTGCAGTTTAAGGATGCAGATAGCATGGGAAAGGGCTGAGGGATGTGCAGGGGGAAAATGAGATGTCACAGGGGGCAGGATGTCAAGGAGACCTTGGAAAAACACAAGTTGGGCATTTCACATAAAAACCTGCAAAAAGCAGCTGCTGTCCTGCTGCTCCCTCCATTTTCCTGTACAGGTGCAGGTTGAGAGGTGCTGGGCAGGACCCCAGACCCCCACTCTACAGCTTTCTAAATCCAACAGCTATGGATTAACTCCATTTCCAACCTGTTTAATTTTTCCCTTGTAAAGAACAGCTGTAGCCATGTAGGCAGCCGTCAGCAGAGCTGCATCCTTCAGGTTACCTGCCCTTTCCAGGCCTGTTAATCCCTGTAACATTCCTGGGGATTATTTCCATCCCGACAGGACGGTAGCACAGGCTGCCAGCAGCAGTGCACAGTCCTGACACAGAGGGGCTCACATGGCAATCACCACCAGGAGACAAGTTGCTTAATCCTAAATAAATGTTCTGTGAAGGGCATCTCCTCTGTGTGAGGGAAAACCAAAAAGCAGCAGCAGCCAAAGGAAGCATAGCCCAGCTCCAGCTGCAGCCAAACCCTCATGTCCTTGGGTGTGAGCCAGTCCTCCCCCTCCTCCTCTTCCTCCTCCTCTCCAGGAGCAGGCTAAAACCTTTCTTCTTGTTCTGAGGGGCTGCACAAAAGGCGCTCAGCACCCCAAGCAGCACACCCTGTTTTACACTCCTAGTAGAGCATATTTAATGTATATTTGCGGCATTCATGCTTTCAAAATCATTTAGTGCTGCACCTAAGCTGCCTGATAACCTGTTCCCCAAAAAGATTGTGGCTGAGCATAATCAGAAGTGGAAACAATTTGTCCCAGGATTGCAGAGTGGTGATTTTATTGCAACTCTCTCAGGAACTGGGGGATTTATAAGTATTTCCAGGTGGTCTGTGCAGGAATTTGGGCTTTGCTTTAGGTCAGAACAGAACAAGGTATTAAAATGTCACTTTTCTCCTCCAGTCAGTCCCATACCCTGAAGCAGGGGGGTGTCTGGTATCTGGGCCACCTCAAA